TGGCGAAACTCAGGGCCCGCGGCCCGCCTACTCTGGATTGAGTCGTCATCGCCTATCGTCGGGTGCACGTGCTGCTGGAGCGAATTGTGTGGGAGGGGGAGGATGAGCAGGAGGTCGAGGAGGAGCCCCCGTCTTCCACCTTCGTTCCTATTGGGGCCTCTGGGGGGGCCTCTGGGGGGGCCTCTTGGGGGGCTTCTTGGGAGGCCTCTTGGGGGCCTCTTGGAGCCTCTTGGGCGCCTCTTGGGGCGGTCTTGGTGGACTCGTGGACCGCCTTCAACGCCGTGAGGGGCCAAAAGTCGTTTATGATAAACATGTACGGTTTCCCATCGGCATTGGACGATTGTGGCCATTTGGGCCCCTCTTGGGAATGCTCTTGGTAGCCCCGGCAGTGCCGAGTGTTACACAGATGTACGTGTGTATGTATATGTCTGTATATGTGTGTATATATATAGTGGCCTTCGGCCCATCCCGCCACCGTGCCTTTGTCGGCCTGAGATCCTTGGTGCCTGGTTTGCGGGTTAGAAGTTACATGCCTCAAGTGGTACTTGGGGCTTCTTTTGAGCTTCTTGGGGGCCTCTTGGGGCCTCTTGGGGCCTCTTAGGGGGCCTCTTGGGGGGCCTCTTGGGGGCCTCATGGGGCCTGTTGGGCGCCTCTTGGGGCCTCCTGGGGCCAGCTTGGGGCGGAAGGCTCGGATTGTTGGTTTAGGCTCCCCATCTTGGCGAAAGTGCGCCAGTGGATCTCCCTGAATACACTAAAGGGGGGGGGGTCCAGAACCCCCACCCCCTCCCCTCCTTCAAGGGGGGAGGGGTCCGGACCCCCCCTCCCCCCCTCTCCCCCTTAGGGGGGGGGGGTCCCGTCCCCCCCCCCTCCCTTGAAGGGGGGGGGTCTGGACCCCCCTCCCCCTCCCCCCCTTGGCGCTGGAAAGGGGGGGGGGGTCGGACCCCTCCCCCTCGTGTAGGGAGTACGGAGTTAGGAGTAGGGAGTGGTGAGAGTAGTGAGTATTGGGTAGTGAGTAGTGGGTAGTGAGTGGCGAGTAGGGAGTAGGGAGTACGGAGTGGGGAGTAGTGAGTAGTGACGAATGAGTAGTGTGTACTGATGAGTGAGTAGTGAGTGGCGAGTAGTGAGTAGTGAGTAGTGAGTATCGTTTAGTGAGTACTGAGTAGGGAGTCGGGAGTAATGAGTAGTGGGTAGTGAGTCGTGGGTAGTGAGAAGTGGGTGGCGAGTAGTTATTAGTAAGTAGTGAGTAGTGGGTAGTGCGTAGTGCGTAGTGAGTAGTGAGTAGCGATTGGTGAGTAATGAGTAGTGAGTAGTGTGTAGTGAGTACTGAGTAGTACGTAGCGCGTAGTGAGTAGTGAGTAGTGAGTAGTGATGAATAGAGAGTAGTGGGTAGTGGCAGTGGGTAGTGAGTAGTGAGTAGCGCGTAGGGAGTAGCGAGTAGTGAGTAGTGAGGAGCGAGTAGGGCGTAGTGAGTAGTGAGTAGAGAGTAGTCAGTAGAGAGTAGTGGGTAGTGATTAGTGAGTAACGAGTAGGGAGTAGCGAGTAGTGAGTAGTCAGTAGGGAGTAGGGAGTAGGGAGTAGGGAGTAGTGAGCAGTGAGTAGTAAGAAGTGGGCAGCGAATGGTGGGTAGTGAGTAGCGATTGGTGAGTAGTGGGTAGTGGGTAGTGAGTAGTGACTAGTGACCAGTGAGTTGTGACCAGTGAGTTGTGACTAGTGACTAGAGACTATGTAGTGACTAGTGAGAAGGGAGTAGTCTGTAGTGAGTAGTGATTATTGAGTAGCGGGGAGTAAGTGGTGAGTTTTGAGTTGCGAGTATGGGAGTAGCGAGTAGCGAGTACTGAGTACTGTGTAGTCAGTATTGTGTAGGGAGTAGCGAGTAGCGAGTAGTGGGTAGTGAGTAGTGATTTGTGGGCAATGAGTAGTTAGCAGTGAGTAGTGAACAGTGGAAAGTGGGTACTCGGTAATGAGTAGTCATTAGTGAATAGTGAGTAGGGAGTAGGGAGTAGTGCTTAGTGAGTAGTGAGTATTGAGTAGTGGGTAGTGAGGAGGGAGTAGTGAGTAGTGAGTAGTGAGTAGGGAGGAGGGAGTAGTGAGTAGGGAGTAGTGAGTAGCGAGTAGTGGGTGGTGGGTAGTGAGTAGTGGACAGTGAGTAGTGAATCGTGAGTAGTGAGTAGGGGGTAGTGAGAAGTGAGTAGCGAATAGCGAGTAGTCAGTAATGAGTAATGAGTAGTGAGTACTCTTTGGGGCTGGGGTTAGTGGTTGGGGTTCGGAATGGGGGTTTGGGTTAGGGTGAGGAGTAGGGGTAGGGGTGGCGGGGGTCGGGTTCCGGAGTCAGGGGGCGGCGTGGCGAAAGGAGGGGAGGGGGGGGGGTCAGACCCCCCCCCCTCTTCTTGAAAGGGGGGAGGGGGGGGGTCCCCGACGACGGGTCGGGGATCGGGGAAAGGGGGGGGGGGTCCCCGACGACGGATCGGGGAAGGGTGGGAGGGGGGGGGGGGTCCCCGACGACGGATCGGGGAAGGTGGGGGGGGGCCCTACCCCCCCCCCTTGGGGAGATCCAGCGGCGCACCCTCCCTCTTGGCCCCTCTCTGGGCCGTCTTGGGGCACTCTTGGGCCGTCTTGGGAGCCTCTTGGGCCGTCTTGGCGCCCTCTTAGGCCGTTTCGAGCGCCTCTTGGGAGCCTCTTGGGCCGGTTTGGGGCGGTCTTGGGGGAGTGGGGCCGTTTTCAATGCCATGCAGACCGACAACTTGTGCATGTTAAAAATGTACGTTTGCCCTCAGGAATTCGACGATTTTGGCCTCTTGGGTCCCTCTTGGGGATGCTCTTGGAGGCTTCCTGGGCCGTCTGGGAGGCTTCTTGGGCCGCCTTGCGGCCATCCTGGGCGTCTTGGGCCGACCTTTGGACGTCTCGGGGGCCTCTTTGGCCGTCGTGGGGGCTGCTTGGAGCCCTCTGGGGCCTCGTGGGGCCTGATGACACCTTTGCCCCCCCCCCCCCCCCCCCTCCAAACCGGCCGGACCGGCCGGACCGGGCTCCCGGGGGAGGGGTTTGGGGAGGGGGAAGCATTTCACACGCCGTGACCCCAAGGGGCCGGCAGACTTCTTCCGACCGACGTGTACGCAGATCAGAGTGAGGCCTGGGTCTCACCGGGATGCTTTCACCTGCGCAGCCCTCGCCAGTCTCGTGGGGTCCTGTGAGGTCCAGCGGAGAGGTGTCGTCCGCGAATCCTAATGATATCTCGCCCTCCCTGGGTGCTGCCAGCTGCGCAGCTGTCGCCACTGTTGTGGGCTCCCTGGAGGTCCACCAGGCCATTGCGCAGCTGCCGCCATTTTCGAGGGCTCCTGGGAGGTCCAGCGGACGGACGCCCTGAGCAGATCAGGCTGGGACTTCGCCCTGGCTGGGTGCTGCCAACGGCGGGGTCGTCGCCAGTTTCGAGGGCCCCTGGGAAGTCCAGCGAAACGACGCCTTTCGCAGGTCAGAGTGAGACCTCGCCCTCCCTGGCTGCTGCCAACGGCGCATTTGTCTGTCGCTGGTTTCGTGGGTTCCCGGAAGGTCCAGCGGAGTGCTGTCCTACGCGGGTCCCGGGACCTCGCCGTCCCTGAGTGCTGCCAAAGGCGAAAGCGTCGCGGGTCTCGTGGGCTCCGGGGAGGGCTGGCCGAGTGCTGTCCTACGCGGGTCCACATGGGACCTCGCCCTCCCTAGGTGCTACCAACGGAGCAAGTGTCGCCAGTTTCGTGGGCTTCTGGGAGCTCCAGCGGAGCGACGTCATACGCAGATCAGATGGAGACCTCGCCCTTCCTGGGGGCTGCCTACTGCGCAGCCGTTTCCAGTTTCATGGGCTCCTGGAAGGTCCAGCAGTGAGGAGCTGCCTCACTGAAATCTGTCCTGGGAGGCATGCAGCGCACGGCCTCCCCATGTAGCTTTCGTAGCAAATCTCGTACCTTGTCGTGCCGTCACCCGTATGAAGTGAGCTCGCTGCTATGGTCTCTTGTTGCAGATGGGTTGGGTACGGCGCCGGGTATATTGTTGTTTGCTGCTTGCATCCGCTCTTCGGAGCCTGCGTGCACGCCCCTTCTGTTTCTCGCAGAGGCCTGCGACCCTTCCGCTCTATCGAGAATTCTTGTGCAAGCAGGGCAACCGCCATCGAAGGGACACCTGTGTCAGTTCTGTTCGGTAGCAAGTCATGGGAGTCTTGTAACCCTTGTGGTTCCTTCTTTAGCGTGCAGTAGCGTCGTTTAACTTCTGGTGATCGGTGCGATAGTGCCGAGTTTGCGTCGAGTAGTGTCGATTAGCGTCGATTCAGAATCGATTAGCGCCGATTAGTGTCCAGTCGCAAGAGCTGACAAGGTGGTATGGGAAGCTCCCATTGGTTGCCACCGGCAGTTCTCGACAGGCCGGGTCCATGCCTGAGCTGCTCTGAGCGCTGTGCTCGGGAGCGTCGCGGCCTGCCCGCGAGGGCTCTTCTTCGTCCCTTCACAGAGCCCCGAGGGAGGTCAGTCGGGAAAGACTTGCCACGGGCGTGGGCCGGCTGAAGGTCGCGAGCTGCGACCGTGCCCGTGTCCACGCCCTCGTGGTCTGAACCCCAGGGCGCGATTCCGTGGACACGCGATCGCACGGATACGTTCCGCGCGGGGCATCCGCAACAACAAGCGCCCCGTAGCCGCGGGCTCGCGGCCCAAGGACCTGGCCCGCGCCGTGGATACGGATATGTTTCCGGCCCACGAGAAGGGCTCCCCCTGGCGTGCTGAAGGGGGGCCGACTGAAGCTAGGCGACTTGTCGCACCTGCGGGGCTTCCGCATGTGCAGCACCATCGCCTCCCTCAGCCCCCTCCCCCTCCTCGGAAAGAGGCGAGGAAGCAGGTTGCTGGAGGACGGGAGGGGGACGGTGGTGGTGGTGGTGGTGGTGTATATTCTCTGGTGGTGGTGTACACTCTTGGCACGTGCAGCGCCGCCGTCTTGCCGTCGCAGCCGCGGCCGCCGACGGCAGCCCCCGCCTGCCCCGCGCCGAGGGCACCATGACGAGCGACGAGAGCGAGCGCCGCAACAGGGCCCTGGCGGTGGCCGCCCGGCTGCTGTGGGAAGCCTAGACGACGAGAGGCGGGTCGAAGAGGAGTCAGCGACATAACGATGACGACGACGATGACGACGTCGAGGCCGATGCCGATGCCGATGACGACGGCGACGACGGTAGTCTTCTGCCCTCTTTCAGCCTGAGCTCTGAAGTGCTGGCAGCTTGATTAGGATGCAACCTCTGGGAGGTTGAACTCAGTATCGGCGCTGATCTGTCCGTGGCCGGAAACGGGCCAAATCCAGCTCAACGGCCACTCAGTCGGGCCTGACAGCCCTCATCTCCGTTCCGGCGAAGACCTCCCTGGAGTTGCTCAGGGGACGCTCCATGAGGGAGGCGATCAATTGGGGCGCAGCGAGGGCTGCCGAGACGGGGTCCTTTAAGGGCCCCTCGAGGGGCCCTTTAGGGCCCCGACGAGGGCCTTTCGGTCCCGAAAAGGGCGCCGTTCTCTCCCCCCTCCCCCCCCCCTTCATGGCCCCCCATGACAACCCCCCCTCGAAATCAAAGGCAAGTTTTGTTGAATCGCTTCGCTCATTCCGCCGGCCCGTATTGTGCCATCGCGGGTTCTTGGGCGGTCTTGGGAGCCCTTGGAAGCTTCGTGGGAGCTTCTTGGGAACTTTGGGAGGCCTCGTGGATGGCTCTGGGTGGGCCCTCTTGGTGGTCTCTTGGGGGGGTCTGCCTGGCCTCTTGGGGGCCTCCTGGGAGCTTCCTGGGGGTCTCTTGGGGGCCTCTTGGGGCTTTCTTGCGGCCTGTTGGGGGCCTCTTGGGGCTCTCTTGGGGGCTTCGTGGGGCTACTTGGGGGCTTGTAGGGGCATTTCGGGGGCGTGTTTGGGCGGGAGGCTCAAAATTTCCGTTCAGGTTGCCCCTGTGGACCTCAATCATGGGGCCGTCTTGGGGCCTCTTGGACCGTCTTGAGGGTTTCTTGGGCCTTCTTGGAGCGCTCTTGGGCCGTCTTTGAGCGGTCTTGAGGGTCTCTCGGGCCGTCTTGGGGTGATCTTGGGGGCCTCTTGGACCGCCTTGAAAGGTGTGAAAGACGAAGAGGCGGATATGTAAAAAATGCACGTTTCCTAAGGGAATGAGACGGTTTTTGCTTGTGGGAGCCCTCTTGGGACGCCGCTTAGGGACCTCTTGGGGCGTCTTGAAGGCCTGTTGGGCCGTCTTGAGGCCATCGTAGGCGCTTGGGGGTGATATTTCGGCGTCTCCCGGCTCTCTTGGACCGTCTGGAGGGCTTCTCGGGCCCCTCTTGGACCGATTTGGAGCCCTCCTGGGCTCCGAAAAAGAGTTCTTGAGGGTTTGTTGGGCCTTCTTGGAGCGCTCTTGGGCCGTCTTTGAGCGGTCTAGAGGAGGGTCTCTCGGGCCGTCTTGGGTGATCTTGGGGGCCTCTTGGACCGCCTTGAAAGGTGTGAAAGACGAAGAGGCGGATATGTTAAAAATGCACGTTTTCCTAAGGGAATGCGACGATTTTTGCTTGTGGGAGCCCTCTGGGGACGCCGCTTAGGGACCTCTTAGGGACCTCTTGGGGCGTCTTGAAGGCCTGTTGGGCCGTCTTGAGGCCATCGTAGGCGTTTGGGAGTGATATTTCGGCGTCTCCCGGCTCTCTTGGACAGTCTGGAGGGCTTCTCGGGCCCCTCTTGGACCGATTTGGAGCCCTCCTGGGCTCCGAAAAAGAGTTCTTGAGGGTTTGTTGGGCCTTCTTGGAGCGCTCTTGGGCCGTCTTTGAGCGGTCTTGAGGGTCTCTCGGGCCGTCTTGGGGTGATCTTGGGGGCCTCTTGGACCGCCTTGAAAGGTGTGAAAGACGAAGAGGCGGGTATGTTAAAAGTGCACGTTTTCCTAAGGGAATGGGACGATTTTTGCTTGTGGGAGCCCTCTTGGGGCGCCGCTTAGGGACCTCTTGGGGCGTCTTGAAGGCCTGTTGGGCCGTCTTGAGGCCATCGCAGGCGTTTGGGAGTGATATTTCGGCGTCTCCCGGCTCTCTTGGACCGTCTGGAGGGCTTCTCGGGCCTCTCTTGGACCGTTTGGAGCCCTCCTGGGCTCCGAAAAGGGACCTTGCCGGGACCTTGCCGGGACCTTGCCGGGACCTTGCCGGGGTACTTTTCGTCTGGGGACCCCCAGGGCCCGCCCCGCGCGCGCGAATTAGAAATATTGTTGAGCAGTTACGGGAGATCTTAGCACGCCTCTGGCCGTTGGGCCGGCGAATTTTGCCCCCTCGCCCCTAAATTTCAATATTGATGGACGCGCGCAGCGCGGCCTGCGGGGTCAACCAAAAAATTGCAGTCGCCAGCATCGGCGTCAACATTGAAATTGGAGGCCCGGGGGCGTCGCCATGTCGCAGGAAAGACTTGCGTTTGATTTCGAGGAGGCATCTAGCTCGTGCCCGGGTTGCTTCAGAAGCTTTCGCAGGTCCGCGCAGGTTTCTTGGATTCAGGAGGGGAAAAAACACACAGACACAATTATTCGTCGATTTTTAGGAAAATATGGGAAAATATGGGAAGTGGGGGGGAAGATGAAAATCCAAAAAATATGGGAAAATATGGGGAATCTGTTTATTTGTGTGTATTTATTTGTGTGTCCCAGGGCCCCTTCATGGATGTCGGCGCGGGGCCCCGCTCTCCTCCTGGAGCGCTCCGCGCACGCCAGGGGCGACGAGATGCGCCGCCGTGGGGGCTCCAGCGCGTATCCAGCAATCATCGAGGATAACAGAGCGCCTAACCCTCATAACCCGATGAAGACGTAGCCTCACTGAGGTCCCTGTCTTCGCACTAGGGGTTATCGGAGGTTGGGGGGTGAGATCGCATCGGCACGGAGCCCCAACCGGGAAATCGTTTCGTTTCGTGCGTGCGGGCGAGGCGAAGCTGCGTGGGCGCGCGAGAGGAATGAACCCGCCGTTGCTAATTAGGGCGAAGTCAAGACAAATGATTCTCTCCCGCCCGCCCGTCCGGCGGTGGCTCGCGGTGTCCCGCGGTGTCCCGTGGCGTTGTGTGGTGTCCCGTGGTGTCCGCCATTGCTGGGGCGAAGTCAAGATAAATGATTCTCCCCCGCCCGCCCGTCCGGCGGTGGCTCGCGGTGTCCCGCGGTGTGCCGTGGTCGCCCGTGGTGTCCCGTGGTGTCTGCCGTTGCTAGGGTGAAGTCGAAACAAGAGATTCTCCCCCGCCCGCCCGTCCGGCGGTAGCTCGCGGTGTCCCGTGGTCGGCCGTGGTGTCCCGTGGTGTTCTGTGGTGTCCGCTGTTGCCAGGGCGAATTCAAGACCAATGATACTTTCCCGCCCGCCCGTCCATCCGTCCGTCCAGCGGTGGCTCGCGGTTTCCCGCGGTGTCCTGTGGTTTCCCGTTGTGTCCCGCAGTGTCCCGTTATGTGAGATCGATAGTGAGATCGATAGTGAGATCGATAGTGAGATCGATGCGGTGTCCCGAGGTGTCCCGTGGTGTTCCGTGGTGTCCCAAAGAGTGAGATCGATAGTCAGATCGATAGTGAGATCGACAAGTGTCCCGTGGTGTCCCGTGGTGTCCCGTTGAGTGAGATCGATGGTGAGATCGATCGTGAGATCGATAATGATATCGATGTGGTGCCCCGAGGTGTCCCGTGGTGTCCCGTGGTGTCCCGTTGATTGAGATCGATAGTGAGATCGATAGTGAGATCGACGGTGTCCCGTGGTGTCCCGTGGTGTCCCGTGGTGTCCCGTTGAGTGAGATCGATAGCGAGACCGATAGTGAGATCGATAGTGAGATCGATGTGGTGCCCCGAGGTGTCCCGTGATGTGCCGTTGTGTAGTGAGACCGATAGTGAGATCGACAGGTGTCCCGTGGTGTCCCGTGGTGTCCCGTGGTGTCCCGTTGCGTGAGATCGATAGTGAGATCGATAGTGAGATCGACAGTGAGATCGATGTGGTGTCCCGTGGTGTCCCGTGGTGTCCCGTGGTGTCCCGTTGAGTCAGATCGATAGCGAGATCGATAGTGAGACCGATAGTGAGATCGAGAGGTGTCCCGCGGTGTCCCGTGGTGTCCCGTGGTGGCCCGTGGTGTCCCGTGGTGTCCCGTGGTGTCCCGTTGAATGAGGTCGATAGTGAGATCGACAAGTGTCCCGTGGTGTCCCGTGGTGTCCCGTGGTGTCCCGTTGAGTGAGATCGGTAGTGAGATCGATAGAGTCAGATGTTGGTTCCCCCCCCTCCTCCCCCCTCCACAACTTCCTTCTCACCCGAAGGGTGGTCGTATAGGTAATTCTCGGTGGTTTGGTTCGATACACCTGCAGAAAAAAAACAACTCCTATCCCTAATGTTCTTGGCCCTCCTAACCTAGGTCTCCTCTCAAAGGGTAAGTGGTCCTTTTTGGTCAACCAAATAAATCCGCATGCACCTCCGACATTTTATCTGGAACGTTCCAACGAGATTCTCGCCTTCGAGGATCGAAGGAGTTTCCATCTCTTACTCGCCGGACAGCGGCGAAAGGGCGGCGGAAGCGCTGGCGGAAGCCGGCGGAAGCAAAAGTCGGTCTCCCAAGAGATGAACATTTTTCGGGGTTCAGGGTTTCTGGAATCGGCCATGCTTATGCATGTTCTTTCTTCTATTCGAGCATCTTATACGTGGCATGTGGCCAGTGACCAGCCTCACACGACGGTGGTCTCCTGTTTTCTGTCGGCCTGAGCTCCAGAGCGCCGGCAGCCTGATTGAGGGTGTACTCTAGGGAGGTTAGATTCAGCATCGGCAATGGTGTGTCCACGGCCGAAAACAGGCCTTCTCCAGCTCAAACCTTCGTCGTCCCTCTCGGCCCGCTTAATCCGGCTAAATCTTGGTCTCAATCGGTGTTTATCGGGCCTAATAGCCCCTTAATCGGTTTGAACAGCCCTGTGATCATGTCGCGCTGTCCACCGATCCTTCAGGACGCAACTCCTGGGAGGCTCAATTCAGCATCGGCAGTGTTCTAGCCGTTGCCGAGAACCATTCTCATCGGGCTTCACTGGCTTACTTTGGATTGATGGTCCCTTCGTCGGGCTTAACTGCCCCTACTCGCCCTCACGAAGGCCTCCCCTAAGCTGCCTCCTGAGGCCGGGCGGGGCCAGAACAGGGATGGGTCGCCTCATAGCGTTCCGAAGCGGTCTCAGAGCGTTCTGGAAGGCTCCGGGAAGGCCGCGGCACCCGATGCATTCTCCAGAGCTGCCGGATCTCAGACATCCCCGAGGTATGTCCGATCTTGTCCCTGTCCTGGCTTCGTCCTGGATCAATCATGCAGCAGCAGGAGGAGGAGGAGGAGGAGGAGGAGGAGGAGGAGGAGGAGGAGGGCCTACCCCCGCCCGATTCTGTCCCTCTCCTGGCTTCGGTTGGCAGGGAGGCGGCGTGGCGCAGGAGGTACGCGACGGCCCCACGCAGGGGGGCCGCGGCGGGCGGGCGCCGAGTGCCGGCACGGCGGCGCCCCAGGGCCCCGACTGGCCCCGCCGCGGCGCGCTCCTTCCTCGAAGGCTGTCTCGGGCGACCTCGGCGGGTGCTCACCACCCACCAAACCACCCCAACCCAACCCGAAGGCTCTGATTTACCCTCGATTTCCAGTGGGGGGGGGGTCGGGAAACATTGAAAAAACACATGTGGTACCCTTACCCCCCCCAACCCGAAATTCGGGTCTTCGGGTTGGGTTGGGGTGGTCTGGTAGGTAGTCAGGTGCGGGTGGAGATGGGCTCGAGCATCGCGGTTTGAGGATCGGGGATCGCTCTCTGGATGCTGTTGGCGCATGCGCGTGCAGCCCGTGGGCCGAGAGCGGACCGTACAGGCAGCTCGCGCAGTCCACTGCTGTTTGACTTGTTCATTCGCGCTGCCGCGCGTGTTCGCCAACGTGCCTGGGGCCTGGGGCAGCGCTGCGCAGCCGTAGCGCGGCACGAAGCAGGCTCCGCACTGCTGTTGCGGTGTCCTCCTGGGAGTCCTTCTTCCACGGCGCCTTCGGGGTCTCTTGAGGGGCCCCGTGCTTCTTGTCGTTGTTGGTGGGTCCTGGGGCCGTCGGGGAGGTCCCGGATGCCGCCTCGAGGGGGGCGCCCGGCCCGTCTCTGCAGGTCTCGGAGCCGCCCTGGAGCGAGCCTCGGGCCGCCGACTCGGCCCCAGGGCGCCGTGCGGGTGCCTGCCCGAGGGCCGCCCAGGATGCCACGTCGACGAGGACTGCACAGCCCACCCCCACCCCCCAGCCAGGGGCCGCGCCAGGGGGCGATGGGCTCGGGGGGGGGATCAGGCTCGAGGGTCGAGGTTCGGGGATCGGAGATCGCTCTCTGAGCTCTCTGGAGGTTTTGATCGTCCTGGGCCGCCCTCGTGGGCACGGCTGGGTCCGCCTCGAACTTCTGGGCAGAGCGCACCCCAGGAGAGATGCAGGGATCGGCTTTTGACACCTGATTCGGGTTCTGGGTTCGAGGTTGTCGGGCGTTCCCGGCGGCTCTCCAGCCTCGGGATGCGTTCTAGCAGCCGCGCCTCGCCGCGGGCGTCCTCGGGGGTGCCCAGCTCGTCCGGAACGGCCGCCAGAGAGCCGAGTCATGGCCCGAAGCCCACGAAGAGTCGAGGCCCTCCCAACGGCGTGGTGACCACACCGCGTGGGACTCGGGTCGTTTTCCGAGGACGTCTCGGGAGACTGGGGCCTCCGAGGTCCCAAGACTGTGCGGTGACGGTCCGCGCGGTGAGGTCCCTTAGGATTTCGAGGTCACCGCGCGGTCCGTCACCACACGGTTCTTCACCACCCACCGAATTTGCCATCCATTCTCAGTGGGGGGCGCGGCGGGGAACATTGAGCAGCATATTCGGGGGTGGACAGAACCCCCAACAGGGACACGTCGATTAGTGAATTGTCCGTTTTCGGTTCTCGAGAGGGCGGCGTGGCCATTATTTTCCAGATTTGCGCCCGCCAGGTTTGGGCCTCAAGTCGTTCTCACTAGACCACGTTTTACTAAAGGGGGGTCCGTCCATCCCCGACATACCCACATGGAAATCGTACACCACCAACCCGAAATTTGGGTCTTCGGTTTGGGTTGGGGTGGTTTGGTAGGTATTCAGTTCTGGGACCCCCAATGGATGTGGATGGATCGACGACGAGGACGAACAGGCGACGGAGGGGCACGAAGGTGGGGAGCCCCGAGCTCCAGAGCACAGCTTCTGCAAAGGGGCACTGGCACTCAAGCTGCTGCAAAGAGCTCAGGCTTTGACCCCCGCACCGGCTCAGTGGAGATGTTTTTTTTTGTCTTCTGGCGCGTCACGGTTGCCACGCGGGCCCCCCTTCCGGGCAACGGTGACAATCCTACGTAGGCGGGGGTGGCCTAGGCTCCCTCGAGATTATTTTGTGGTCCTCTGTCGCGTAACGGTCGGTTCCTGGGCCAAGCCTGCCCCCTTCCTTGGGTAACGGTGACGAGCGTACGGGGGGGGGGGGGGCGGGGCTCAGTGGAGATGGTTTTTGATCCTCTGGCGCCAGCCCCCCCCCACCCCCCCCGTAAGGGTAGCGATCCTACGTGGGTGGGGGGGGGGGCTGGACCTCCCCCACCCTAAACCCTAAACCCTAAACCCTAAACCCTAAACCCTAAACCCCTGGTGCTCGCGCGCATACTCAGGCGCTCAGCGCACCCCCGCCCCGAGGTGCCCCGCCCTGGCTGCCCAGGTCTAGCTATACACCTTAGGCGATGCTTAAGAAAACTTAAGTTTTCGGCCAGAGTCTCGATTATTCTTAACGTTTCAATGTAAATCTTAAGAGTTTAATGGAATTTTTGGGTTTTTATTCAAGTTCTGAGACTATGAATTTCTTAACCCATGATTTCTTAAGCATCTCGCAGGGTGTATACGCCGATCGTTGAAACTAGAATTTTTGGATATCCAGGTCCAATCAATATGTTTTAGCAGCCTTCCTGCTTCAAGAGTCGAATGGGGTTTCCCTCATCCCTCCTCTTCGGGGGGCGGGCGGAAGCCCAATCTACTTTCAACGCTTTCATAATTACTTCATGTTTCTGCCCACTTCTTCCGACCAGTGGGTACATGAGGACAGGACGGGGCGGGAGTTGATGCCTTGACCTTCCGCACTGGCTCAGTGCGCCTTGTTGTCCACGTAGTCGAGCGGCGTAGAACAGCCGGTTCGACTGTGCGGACATCGGCGCGAAAGTTGCTTGCGTAAGATCCTGCGTGAGCGCTCTCGTTTCCGATGCAGCTTGCCGCGCGGGCGGCCCGCGTGTAAGCCACCGCTCCAGGTCGCTATGCCATCGTGCGTAAGACCCGTTTCTTTTTTGTCGCTCATTTGGGAATCTCATCTCCTCCCTCTGCGAGCTGCTCGCGGCGATCGGCAGACCACCGAGGCGCAAGGGATCGAGGCCGCCCGCGCCCAGCGGCCCGCGTGTGGCGCTGCTGTCGCCCACGTCACCAGCCTCCAGGACACTGCGGCCCCGCCCTCCTCCCGCAGTGACAGTCCACGTCAGGAGGCCCTGGGCAGTATTGAAGAAGAAGAAGAAGAAAACGAAACAGAAGAAGACGAAGAAGAAGAAGAAGAAACATAATAGTAAGTGCAGCACTTTCGGAGCTCCGCGCGGAGTTCCGACAGCTGATGCTTTTGTTCCCGATCATCCTGTGGTGTTGGGTCCTCGTTTTGAAGAGAGCACCCCGCGTTCCTCCTTCTCCTCCTTCTTCCGCTCCTCCTCCTCATCCCTTCTCCAATCCCTGCCTCTACCCTCCGCATGTCCACCAATCCACCGTTTCGTCGCACCCAGTATAGCGTTTCGTAGCGCCACAGGGCGCTCCACCGAAGGCCCCAGTGGCTGTGACCACATGCGTCCGGCGCCACCCAGTACGACGCTTCATGGCCCCATCGGGAGCTCCACCAAAGGCCCCGATGGCTGCGACTACATGCGTCCAGCGCCGATTAATGCGGCGCTTCGTGGTCCCAGGGGGAGCTCCACCGAAGGCCCCAGTGGCTGTGACCACCAGCGGCCGTGACCACGTGCGTCCCGCGCCACCCAGTACGGCGTTTCGCGGCCCCATGGGGAGCTCCACCGGAGGCCCCAGTGGCTGTGATCACATGCGTTCGCGCCACCCAGTACATCGTGTCATGGCCCTATGGGGAGCTCCACTGGAGGCCCCAGTGGCTGTGATCACATGCGTCTCCCCCGTCCATTTCGGCACACCCCTGACGCGTTTCGTGGTCCCATACGGAGCTCCACTGAAGGCCCCAGTGGCGACGTTTGCGTGCGTCCCCCTGCCCATTTCGGCATACCCCTCACACGTTTCGTGGCCCCATGGGGACCTCCACCGAAGGCCCCAATGGGAGGGACCGCATGCGTCCCGCCCCATTTCAGTACACTCTTAACATGCGTAGTGGCCCCATAAGGAGATCCTCTGAAGGCGATGCCCACAACGGCGATACTCACAATTGCATATTGTTCGGCCCTTCGCCAGGATTTTTTTCCATCCATGCTGTCGTGTGGGGTTGTCGTTTTGAATCGGCAGCCCCCCGCGTCGTTATTATCGACATCATCGTCAGCGTCATTGTCATTAGCATTACCACCATTTTGGCACACACCTCACACTTTTTTCCTGGCCCTATAGGGAGCGAGGGTCCGCATGGCGCCACCGCACCCATGTCGGCAACACGCGCACGTTTCGTGGCCCTGGAGGAAGTTCCACCGACGCCCGCATGGCGCCACGCACACCCATGTCGGCACACCCCTCACACGTTTCGTGGCCCCATATGGAGCATTACCGAAGGCCCCAGTGGGAGGATCCGCATGGCGCCGCCGCACCCATGTCGTGGCCCCATGGGAAGCTCCACCGAACGCCCTAGTGAGAGGATCCTGCCGCTGCAGATGGCTAGGGCCTTCGCCAAGATAACTCTTTCATGTGGTAAAAACAGTGGCGAGAGGCTTTGTGAAATTGTCGGTTTCCGAGTGCCCTCACCAGGCCACAGCAGAGTCACATGACGACTCGGGATACGAATCCGGTCCCGTGGCAGGGGGCCTAGACCTGGGGTTCACGTGAACACGTCGCGGTGGGAGGTTTTCGGCTCTCTGGGGGCCCTCACTGGGTCCCGATAGTGTCAAACAAGTGTTCAGGATGAAAATCCGGTCCAGGGGAAGGGATCTTCGGGTCTTTGCGGGGGTTGTTGGGGCCCTCTCAGGGCCTCTGGATGAATCCCTGGGGGCCAGTTGGGGATCTCCAGGCCGTCGTGGGCGCGATGGTTGTATTGGTTCGAGTAGGGGATCGAATACATGATCGATTTACCTGAGAATTGATTCTCCTGTCGAGTGTACGACGCATACGTAGAATGCTTCGTAGATCTACGGAGCATTCTACGTATTCCTCGCAGATCCGACAGAAGATACACTTTTGGGGTAAAACAAGTATGTAGTCGATCCCCTACTCGATTTGTCTCTCCTGAAGATGCTTGGCAGAATCATCTTGCTGCTGTCCAGTGGGGTCCCGAGGCCGTCTTGGAGCCTTCTTGGGGCCGTCTTGGGCACCTGATGCTGTCTCGCGGTGGTTGTTGGGCGGCGCCTGCTACCTCATCCTCTCCTGTCCCGTCCTCTTCTCTCCCCCTTGTCAATGTGACAGGGCTCATTTCAACTCCTCCAACTCGGTTCGATTCGATTTCGATGTCGTCTGGTTCCGATCCTATTCGAATTTTGATTCCTATTTTGATGCCGATTTCGCAATGGAGGTTTTACCAGCCTGCCGATTCCCGCCCATTCGGCTTCTCCCCGGATTTCAGCCGATCCGATTCGTTTCGATCGCCGATCCGACTCATGGATTTGATTCTGGGCTCTCCCACTCTCCCCCTTGCTCCCTGTGAGCAGTTTGGAAACTACGGTCGGACCGAGGTATAAGATCGAGGTCGGTTCGAGGGTACCTTAATGATCTTCGTGCTTGTTGGATGTCCTGCTCTAAAGCGAGCTGAGGGACGTAAGGAGTGGAAGCGAGCGTGTGCCCGCGGCCGCATCGGTTCAAGCGGCCGACCGCCCAAATGTGGCTGTGCCTAACTGCGAGGCACACGATCGCTATCGAGACCAAAGGATCTTCCTATTGCTTAAGATAGCACATCCTCTCCTACTGGGACTATCGCTACTACGGTACAACAGAGCTGGAGCTTGGCTTCGCCTAAGGCGAAGCTTCTGGCTGGGCCTCCCAGCCCCCTTCAAACTTGGTAGCGGAGCTGGCCTATGGTGGTCAGCTCCTGCTCTACTCCTCACCATCCACGGCACTATCTGGTGGACTATGGACATGGTGGAACATCAGGGTGCAGTGGGTTTGCGCGGATGAATGTGCATAGCTACGCAGTACCGCAAGGACACTTGCATTGATAACTCTGCTCAAGCGGAGGTTTCTTACTTTCATCCTACATCCCTGCGCTTCTACTTTCCTGAAGCCCACCCACCTACTCCAATCGGAAATCTCTTCGAATATATAATGCATGGAAACGTGCGATGCGAAATACTGCCGCCTCCGACCCCACGCATATTTACGACTACACAACGCAAGTCCCAACCGACTACATCCGACTACGACCTACGAGGCCGTTGGATTTGTGTTACTATCTTTGGGCTCACGTGGGTCGCTATCGGGTGTGCGGTAGGACATATGCGTGGCGGAGACCACACGAGAACGACCGGCCTGTATTGGGACCCCGCCGGTCAAGTACCTTTTCGCGAATTCGTCCGCGAAATACATGCCTGGATCAATGTGAGCACAGGCGATATGACGCCCTCCCAGCAGGCTGCAGCTCTGCAGCGAGTTTTGGGAGGTCTCGCACGGACCGTAGCCATGAGAGTCCCTCCAGAAGTTATTAATTTTGGCGTCAACATAGGTGGCCGCCACACTGTCGGCGCCACCTACATCATGTTTCTCTTAAGCACGAAGTTCCAGAAATTAGAAGAGGAGCGCCAACTCAACTCTGGTACGGCTCTCATTGATTTCCGAGTCTATGCGGGCGGACGTATAGACCAGACGTTAACACGGTTTGAGATAACCTGCTCCGAAGCTGAAGCAGCCGGCTTCGACATCCCAACTTCCTAATCCTAGCAGTGTTTGTATTCAGAGCCTTTGGAGTGGGGACATTGCGTGCACAACAATTCCTGCAGCCTCTGAACCACCATATGCCGAGAGACCAACAACAATCTGACGCTCTACTTGAACGTATGAGGTCATGCGCTCACATTGCTGAGAGAACTCCGGCAATATTGGTGGTATCTGTAGTCGCGGCCACCGAACCGAGACCTCCACGTGGAGGCTAACGCAGGGCAGCCTGCCAACAACGTCTGGCATGATGATCCACAACCAGCTGAGACCACTACACTGCTGGCTCAGAATGGTGGAGCGGCCTCGGGGTCGCACGACTCCTGGGCCAGGCTTCGGGGACCGCCCGACGCGGTTTCCCCCATGCAAGCCATGGCCCTCAATGGGCTCAGCGGGGCAGCCCGCCGGGTCCGACTTCGACTCCGGTACTGATGCATATGCGTCTTCAGATGACGAAGCTACCTCCCTTGATTGCTCTGATATGCCTGCATACCTTACTGAAGAGCAACAAGCTCAATGGTTATTTATAGGCTATCAAAAACACAAGCGTCGCTGGCGGAGATTCATGAAGAAACCAGTCCGAAAGGCGAGGCGTATCGTGCGACGATCACTTAAAGGAAAAGCAAAGGTCGAAGTACAGGTACAGGTAAGCGTCGGCGACTGCATGGTAGCGGCATATTAGAATTCTTGGCATCTCCTACTGGACCCCATTATGAAGAAATGCTCTTCGGTGCCGGCAAAAGCCGCAGGCATGCATCAGGCAAAGGTGCAGGGCGATGGGGGAACCCATAGGATGCCAACGGTAAAACTATGGAGTGCGACATGTGCCACAGTGCACAACATTTCCGACGCGAATGCCCTCGAGGTGATGGAAGAGGCATGGATCCGTCAGTACATCTGGCTCAAGAAGACTCCGACATGCAGTAAGTTGACTGGGGGTCACTTCTAGCTGACCCCGCCGATAGCTCAGCCACTATTGTTAGTTTCATGGCTGCCAGTTATCTCAGCGCCAGCATGGCCCTCGAGAATTACGCCGACGAGCTGGCCGCAGCGATATCGATGGGGCAGAATGGCTGGGCATACCCATCGCGGGGGGCAACCTGCAGATATTGAGTTTGTCGGGAACTTCCACATGCCCGCTGAAGGAGACTTTGGCATGGCGGGGGCGCCCGCGGATTCAGAATCTACCATTCCTGCAGCCGGCGAAGAAATGCAGGCGATGCCCTATCCTCGGGCGATGGGAAATCCGACAGGCATTGTCGATGGTGATCTTCTGCGGAGAAACCCGCGCGACGCTGGTGATCTATCTGGGCATATTCAATATGAGTTTGGTCATAGTGAAGAATTTCAATGCACTTTTGTTGCGAACATA